CAGGGTTAATTCTAGGTTTTATTCTAGGTTTTAGTCTGGGTTTATTCAGGGTTTATTCTGGGTTTTATTCTGGGTTTATTCTGGGTTTATTCTGGGTTTAATTCATTCTAAGTTTTATTCTGGGTTTATTCTGGGTTTATTCAGGTTTAATTCATTCTAGGTTTATTCAGGGTTTATTCTGGGGTTTATTCTGGGGTTTATTTTGGATTCTCTGTTTTATGTTGTTGTACATCAGGAGGAGAGTTAACTGTTGCCTCTTTAAATCGGGTTTAATGTATGTGTCAGAGTAAACACGCCCTCCAGTTGCCGAACTGCCGCTGTTTACTTCCACGTGGTTCAGTTCAGTTTAGGAATAAGTAGAGTGGGCGTCACACTAGAGCTGAGACAGAACATTTTACTTTTTTATAGTTTTCTTCCCAATTAGTCAATTAAAACTCTTCTCAACAAGATAAACCGTGTGCCAAACAGTCACAATAAAACTTCACATCATCGTGATCTTAATTGGGTTTTTTTTCCACATTACAGGCAAATCGTAATATCTGTCAAAATAATCCTAACATAATGTTTAACCATACGAGGAAGCTTCTCAAAATGGGAGGATTTGAGATTTCTGTTTTATATTATTGTAATTTTAATGTATTTAGGTTTTTAGATATATTTAGGGTTGTTTTTTTGTCACTTTACATCTAAATTGTGCGTGATATGCACCATTGTCGATGCAGTGACCCTCAAATGCATTAAAACTAAAGTAACAAGCACTTATTTAACCAGAGAGCATAAATAACAGTTCAAATCAAGTTGAATTTATTTGATTTTACAGAAAATGAATCTATTAACCTTTCAAGCTAATTAAAAGAAGATGTAGATGTGACCGTCTACAGCATTTACATTACAGACATGATGCCAGAATTTGGCTGCAAGTGGTGTGAACTCGTTTCAAAGAGTTTTAAACAAATACACACACACATAATCTGAGTAAGCGGCTAAAATACTATTTAACTTCCAGGATATTTGGTCATTTTAATCCATTTCCAGGTGTTTCTATGACTGGATAACTCGTGTGTATGAGTATGAACTATAGATATTTGTGTGAGAACGTAAAAAAGTGAAAGTAAACGGCCCAATTCATAGATTCATAATCATAGATTCAGCTTTAAAACATTATCTGTCATTAGGCAACCACTGAGATGAATAAACAAGGTTAGTTTTGCAGGAAACAGGAAGCACGTTCAGATGCACTTTAATGTCACAAAGCAAGAGGATAGCTTTATCTTTCTCATCATCTGCTGGTGATCTGTTGCCTAAACATGTCAGGACAAACATTCACCAACCCCACAACCACAGAGACTACTAATCCTGCCCCGGGCTGAAGGGGGAGGCCACTGACAACCTTTCCCTGGGGAAAACAGGAGAGACAAAATGGATTTAAACTGCTCTGTGTGCCTCACATTAACAAACCCACACACAGTCAGCAGCCACTCTGTTAGCTGACACTCATTAAAGTCATTAGAGATTATTGCTGTGTGAGGTTGGGGTCTAAAATTAAACCAAAACGTTGTAATTAAGCACAATACACAAAGAGAGAAGTCAAACCAACGACAGGCTCGGTTTAAAGAGGCACCAGGTTACTGAGCTGTGTGACACATATTGAGGTGAATCCTACCTGTGGACTGTTACACCTGCAGGTTGGCACATTTTGCTTTTAGCCTCTAGCCAACTTTAGTCCAAAATGCACGACGCATCGTAACTCCGAACTGCGCTTAGAAATCCGCCGGTTTAACGTTATATCTCCCCGTTATATCGCCGACAAGAAGCAGAGCACAACTTCTAAAGTGAATCGGTAACAAGTGTGTCTTCTGGTAAATTCGGCGCCCAAATGTTCCACAAAACAACATTAATGTTAGAATTACCCGGTTGTTTATTCAACGTTACGCTGCTTCAGTTTGGTGTTTAAGGCAGACGTGAAAGACAAGGATATGAGGCAACACGACTGAAAAACTTGACCGTCCTCAAGCAGGTAAGCGTCTTTCGTGGCATTGCATGGTGCCGAATTGAGGAGTGGGTCCTTGTGATTCTGAATATGGGTTTAATTTAGTTATACAATGCGTGTCACACAGAAAAGGACATTAAATGTGATAAATCGCTCATTTTCTGAGCGGAATTCGGCGTGACGTTCTCTCAATAGGAGCGCTAGCGGGCTGGCTAGCTGTGGCAGCTAACTGGTTGGTTCAGCAGGCACACCCTGGTTAATGCCCCCCCCCCACCACCACCACCACCCCCACCAGCAACCACAGCACCCTGCCCCGAATAACTCACCTCTTTCTTATCCTGCAGACACTCCAGCACCGCCAGGTTGTTGTTCCAGGAGTGTTTGGGGCAGAGCCGGGTCAGGTCCTCCCTGCACACCGCCTCCTCAGACAACTTCCAGCCGGCAGAGCGCCTCCGAGGCAGCGAGGCCCCGGCGCCCGGGTTCCTCTCAGCGGCCGCCGGGTTCACCGCCGCCGGGCCCGGAGCTCCGGCTGGGTTCTGGAGGTTCTCAGCTTTTAGGGGTTTGACTGCGATGGCGTTTTCCCCGCGAACTGGATGCACAGGGGACGAGATGCACATCAAAAGCAGGAGCAGAGGAACACGTATACAGTCCGCCATCTTCACAGAGCCAGTCAGCCTGCTGCTGCATTCAGGAGCTGTCGGAAATATGGGCTCTGCGAGTAAAGTTGCAGACGTTTTTTTTTTTTTTTTTCCTCCTCTCTGGACAGCTCATGAATAATTAATGAGAGTGTGTGGGTTCATGGTCTCAGTCATCCAATCACAGAGCTTCCTCGGGATTGTATGGAAGCTTATTTCCGCCAATATATATATAATAAATATATAATATTATAATGACACACTTTAATGACTTTGTACAACGGAGTATTAAGGCCATACTAAAAGGATAATAATAATAAAGTCGTAATATTACAAGAATAAAGTCATAATATTACGAGAATAAAGACGTAATATTACAAGAATAAAGACAT